GATCCTCCTGCCTGAGCCTCCCAAGTAGCTGGGACCATAGGTGTGTGCACACCACCACGCTTAGGTGATTTTTCTATTTTTTGTAGAAACAGAGGCTCACTTTGTTGCCTAGGCTGGCCTCAACTCCTGGCCTCAATTGATCCTCCTGCCCGGGCCTCCCAAAGTGCTGGGATTACAGGCATGAGCAACCCCATCCCATCTGAATCATCCTCTTAGTCTGGCTGTGGAGACCACGGCCCTGGTCACTTTGGATAGGAGAAAATGACTGTCTTGCCTGCCGACAGTTCCTTATTGTAAGACTCAGGGGTTCTTACTGGGACAGTCAGATTTTCCCCTCCCTGGTCCCTCACATGGGGTTAGAGCAAGAGCTGCATCACTGTTGGGCTCAGGGTCCTCTTTGGGTCAGAGAAGCAGGTGAACACTCCTTTGGCGGTGGGGTGCTAAGGTAGCACAAAGAGGGGGCTCTGTGTTTGCATGTCCGGGGCTGTGCACATGGCTTCCACTCGTGCTCCAGGGAAACATGAAGTGCACCTCACTCACCAAAGTGTTGGGGGGCACTCCATTCACTCAGGAGGTTGTCATACACTTCCTGGGCTCTTATCTTCACCGTGTACCGTCCAGGATTGGGGAGCAGGAAGGAGGTTCCGTGTTTGACCTTTAGGTTAAAAGAAAGTAAGGAAGAAAAAACCTTCCTGCGGGGAAGGAGAATGGGGTCTGATTTGGAAACAGGGTCTCTGCAGAGGTAATTAGTGAGGGATTTTGGGATGACACCATCCTGGATTAGGGAGGGCCCTAACTCTAATGACAGGTATCTTAAGAAACAGCACAAGAGACGGAGGCACAGAGAAAAAGCCACGTGGAGACAGAGGCAGAGACTGGAGTGATGTGGCCACAAGCCCAGGGATGCCAGGAGCCCCCAGGAGCTGGGAGAGGCAGGAAGGAGCCTCCCCTGGGGCCTCGGGAAGGCACTGGATACATCATAATGGGTTGAATGGTGACCCAAAATATACATTCAAGTCTTATCACCAGGAACCTACGTGTAGAACATAACTTGGCAATAGGGTCTCTGCAGATGAGACCATTCTGGATTAGGGAGGGCCCTAAACCCAGTGACAGGTGTCCTCGTAAGAGACACAGAGGAGAAGCCACATGGAGATGGAGGCAGAGACTGGAGTGATGTGGCCATAAGCCCAGGGACGCCTGTAGCCCCCAGGAGCTGGGAGAGGCAGGAAGGAGCCTCCTCTGGGGCTTCCTAAAGAAGTGGATATAATTATAGTGGATGGACCTGTGTGGGTCCCCGAATGTGCACGCCCTGATCCCCACAACCTGAGAATGGGGAACAAGACCAGGCCTGTGTGAGCAGCTCTGGGGTCCCAGGGGTGTGATGGCACCAGTTTCTACATCCGCCATGCCAGTCAGCTGCTATTCCACGACACATCTTGCAAGGAGGGCAGCCGGGCAGGCACTGTGATTGCTATGTTCCTCAGGATGGGCACATGAGGACCAGTGTGAGAGGAAGGGGGTTCCAGGTGGGGTGTGCAGACTGCGGGATGATTACTGACTGGCTCACCTCCCAAGATGCCGCCTCCTAACTGATCATGGGAGGACTGGAGTGGGGGAGAGAGACAGAGACAGAGAGAGGGAGAGAGAGGCAGACAGACAGAGAGAGACAGAGACAGAGAGAGGGAGAGACAGACAGACAGACAGAGAGGAAGACAGACCAAGAAAGCCTTTATCTACCTTTTCATCCTTCCCAAGTGCAGGTCTGGGGTCCTCCTGCCACGTGACCTTTCCCCTATGCTGGCCAGAGTCCCCGTTTGGTGACTTGGTCCTGCCAGGTCCCACGCTCAGAAGCTTGGGGGCAAATGGGGGGACCTAGTGTGAGCTGCACCTCTAATCCTCCCATTTCCTCATTCCTTCACTTGGAGTTGCAAACCCCAGCTTTGCAGGAGTACGGTAAGGGTGAGGGTTGCCTACACGTGGAGTCTGCCGAGTCAGACAGAACCGGGGGACAGTGATAATCATTAACTCTCACTTTGCAATGCTCAGTTCAGGGAGGCAGGGGACACTCACTGTTTCCAGGATAGCAGGTTCTGTGCCCTGCAAGAGAAGATCAAAGAAGCTTTTGGGCGCCTGGACCCCGCCCTGACACCGTTCCCCACACCTGAATTTTATTTTTAGGGTAGAGGATGTTTAAACCATTTGCCCATTTCCCCCCGCACTCCCTCCCATGAGCCTCATTTAACTGGCCTGCCCATTTTTGGACTATCCTAAGTATAACTTTTTTTGTTTTCCAGGCAGAGTCTCACTCTGTCTCCCTGGGTAGAGTGCCGTGGCATCATCATAGCTCTCAGCAACCTCAAACTCCTGGGCTCAAGTGATCCTCCTGCCTCAGCCTCCCGGGTAGCTAGGACTACAGGTGCCTGTCCCAATGCCCCTCTAGTTTTTTTATTTCACTCTTGCTCAGGCTGGCCTCAAATGCCTGACCTCAAGTGATCCTCCCTCCTCGGCCTCCTGGAGTGCCAGGATTACAGGCTTGAGCCACTGCACCTGGCCAGCCTTTTAGTTCCGTAATGCTAACTCTTTAGCCAACCTTTTTAGTTTGACTAAAGCCCCATTCACCCAACTTTTCTTTTTTTAATGTTTCACAGTTTTTGTGCCCTGTCCAAGGACACTGTGCCCAGCCTAAGTCCCCAGAATATGGGTTGCAGAGAGCCAGAATGTCAGCAGGGGCCAAGCTATACCTGTTGTATCTGAAGTTCATAGATGAATCTTGTATTGAAATGGCTCCTCATTTTCCACGTCATGAGAGAGTGTGTTTTATTACACTTTGTGGTCATTTGCGGCATACTTAATTTCTCTAGAGGTGGGGAAAAAAATTCATTGATGAGTAAAATAAAAAAAAAAATACTATTTTCTCCTGGAGGTACTGTAAAACATGCCTCTTATAGATTCTGGTGTTGGGAGGTGGCAGGAGAGGAAAATACCCATCTGGGATTGAGGGACGGGCAGAAAGATTAATAGGAAGAGACACAGGACAAAATCCAGCTGGGATTGTTATCGTCTACTAGCCGGGCCAGCAGCTCTGCAGACCCCGGCGCCCAGGAGACCCTCCCCAAAAGCTTTCACCGACAAAGGGTGCGGCCTGCAGGTAGGTACTAGCTAAGGAGGCTTAGTCACCATGGAGACTCTGAATCACGGCACAGGGCTGGAGGGCCCTGGAGGCCAATGGCTCTGTGGGAGGGGATGTCTGGGACCAAGGGGAAATTAGCCAGCGCTGTTCTGTGGTGGAATCAACAGTCCATAAAACGTATGTCCACTGGGAACCTGTGATCTTATTTAGAAATAGAATCTTTGGAGATGTAAGTAAAAGATCTTAACAGAAGGCCATAGAGTGAACCCAGTGACAGGTGTCCTCCTGAGAGACAGCAGAGGAGACACAGACACAGAGAAGCCATGTGGAGATAGAGGCAGAGACTGGAGTGATGTGGCCACAAGCCCAGGATTGTCTGGAGGCCCCAGCAGCTGGGAGAGGCAGGACGGAACCTCCCTGGGGCTTTTTAGAAGGAATTGGATACAACTGTAATGGATTGAGTGGTGACCCCAAAATATATGTCCATGTGCCCTCACCCAGAACATATGAATAGAATGTAATTTGGCAATAGGGTCTCTGCAGATGTAATTGGGTGAGGTATCTTTAGAGGAGACCATCCTGGATTAAGGAGGCTCCTAAACCCAATGACAGGTGTCCTCCTAAGAGACAGCAGAGGGGACACAGACACAGAGGAGAAGCCACATGGAGATGGAGGCAGAGACTGGAGTGATGTGGTCACAAGCCCAGGGATGCCTGGAGCCCCCAGGAGCTGCGTGAGGCAGGAAGGAGCCTTCCCTGGGGCCTCCAGAAGGAAGTGGATACATTTGTAAATGGTTGAATGGTGAACCCAAAATATATGTCCATAACCTATCACCCAGAATGTATGAATAGAATGTAATTTGGCAATAGGGTCTCTGCAGATGTGATTAGTGACTTGTCTAGAGATGAGTTCAATGTAGTGAATAGAATAATGAAATAACTTTCCTAAGATGGTTCTATAAAGGAAAAATGTCTACTCCATAATTCCCATGTGGAAATCCTCACCCCCAAGGTAATGGTGTTAGGAGGTGGGGACTTTGGGAGGTGGCTGAGGTCCAGAGGGTGGAACCTCTTGGATGGTATCAGTGTCCTTATACAAGAGATTCCAGAGAGACCTTCCTTCCTTCATGTGAGGACACAGTGAGGAGGTGCCATCTATGAACCAGGAAATGAGTCTCCACCACTCACGCCATCTGCCACACTGGGATCTTGAACTTCCAGCCTTCAGAACTATAAGCAATAAATGTCTGTTGTTTATAAGCCTCAGTGTGCTTTAAAAGGGACCCGAGAGAGCTCCCTCACCCCTTCTACCATGTGAGGACACAGTGAGAGGC